TTTTTTCCCTTCGGGCTGTACAATTATAAATTCAGTTCCCTACATAATTTTCCTATATGTTTACTAGCCTATTGTGTGGTAACATTAATGGATCTGTTATTGAGAAATCTGAGGAAGGAAGGAACTATTGAAAAATAAAACAACCGTTTGTTCTAATTATATATCCAAACCATGAAAAAAGAGTTGTAAGGTGAAGAAGGATATATCTTAATGACGAGTATTACTGTAGCTTGTGCTATTGTGCCCTCTCCCCCGCCCTGTACAGACTATTATGAGAGTCTCAGTTTGTTTGGTCACAAGGTATTTTGCAGTATCAGACAAAGTTTAAGTCACAAAGAAATGACGCTAAAACTGCCTGTACTCCGGGAAACAGTTCATGGTGAGCACAGATGCGAGTGACTACGGCTTAGGCGTAGTACTAAAACAGGGTGAAGGAGCTTTCGATTATGCCAGTCGTGTTTAAACACACACACATAGAACATAAGTATTCAACGATCGAGAAAGAATATTAAGCAATAGTGTGGGCGGCAGACAAATGGACACTTCATTTTTACTTAGCCGGAGGTTCCACTCACCCTATTGGTACAGCGTGCCAACACCCAGGAAACAACAAAGAAACCCTGCTTCATTGATATTTGGTGGATAACCACGATTATTTATATACAATAAGACCTGGCCTCCTTCACCAAGAGTGGACGGAGTATGACACGATTGCGAACGGGATAGAATGAAGCAGTCAAGAATATTAGGCATACACTGCAGATGGACTCTGAGAAATCTCAACTGAGAGAAAAGGTGAAATGTATATCGTTTGCAGTCGAAGAAGATCAGGTAAAGTGTAGAGTGAGAAAGAATACAGTTGAATGAGTGCTAGGTTTGCGGAAAACCTCTTCCAAAGCGGGAAGGATGATTCATTCTCACCGAGGGATGTGGTCCTGTATATACCATCAGCAGGGGAGACAAACAGAAACGTGTTAACGCCAGCTAGATCTAGAAATGGATAAAGTGGGATAAACCAACTGATAACAACACTCAACAAGAGTTGATACCATTCCCAAGGTGAAAGCAGCTACACTTATAAGGGAATTAGTGTCGCGTATGCTGATATTGAGAACAACATTCTGAGACCATCACCAAGTCTCTAATCTGTCTCCGTTACAGTTCCACTAATGGATTTTAAACATCAAAAAGTCAAACAATTAGGGCTAAAAAGAAAATCCATGCTGTAGGCTACAAATGTTCCCCTAGTCTATATTATATCGGAGTAACACACTGATGGAATTTTCTCTAACCATGCATCTGATCAAAAGTTCAATTCTCATCTTTCGAAAACCTGGCACAGTTCACTGCTGATGGTAAGACCTGTAAGAAAGGAAGCTATGGGCTTGAGGCTAGCGACCCCAACCCGAAGAAACAACATCATGGCCGCTGAGAGTTCAACATTTCAAGCCTAAAGCCCTGTTTTCCTTGAAAAGTGATGAAACATGGCAGTAGGGAACTGTGTTTTTATGAACACAGAGAATATTAATACGGTCCCAATTAGTTATTTTTCCAAAAAATATAAATCAAATGAGACGTAATCAATCTCATATAAGTATATTTACTAGCTAGAAACAATTCAAACATACTGATCATAAACGTACTGACCATAGATATTTATGTAAAATGTTGTTTGTGTTTTGAAGTTCCTTCAGAAACTGGATCCATTCTCCAGGGTAAGGTCGCTAGCTCACCTTCGAAACTTCCCTCTTTTACCAAACTAAGAACTAATCAATAAATTAGACATTAGTCATAGTACAATTTCAAGGGATTCATTTGTTTCACTTATATAAACAACACCATGACAACACCTAACGGCAAAGATAAGGATACGAAAGCCAGTCAGGATGAGTAAACCAAGACAGACCTTCTTCAATGATCTGAAATCAACGTGTAATAATCTTCTGCACTCAACACAAGGAATAAGAATTGTACTTCCAACAGTGATGTGAAATCATTCAGTGTTTCCAAACATAGTTCAGTGATTTGGTCAGCGAGTTATCGATAGTGTTTCGAAGAAGCCAATGAAGACTTTCATCAATTAGTTCTCTTCACTCTCTGCTGAAAGCCAAATGCTCTACTGGAAAGAATAAGCAACAAGGAACTTTGGCGGTGAGACAAACCAGCCAAAAAATGCGCAGATTAAAATGGAGGTGGATTGTGAATATGCTGAGTAGAAATCACAGAATATGCAAGTATCAGATTGGAACCTGGATTGGAAACAACAAGCTTGGTGACCGAAGGAGACATGAAGACGCTTATGTGAGGAGGGGATGAAAGCTTATGGGAAATAATGCAGCCGGCTAGAAGGGATTGCAGACGACAGAGTGAAATGATGATGCGTTACTAAAATACAGTGTTTCAATTGAAAGCCAAAAGAATAATGGGATCAATAAAGTCAACCAATGAATTACACAGAAATTCATATCACTGATGTAAAAAAAATAAAGAGGTTCAATGTAATAAAACTGACTACTGAACTCATAAGATAGGATAATACGATTTTAAAAGCCAAGGCTATAACAAACTTATGAATACGACCCAAACACGTCTTATATATATAAATGAGTTTTAAGGACGTGTTGAAAACAAATTCAAGTCTCCACTCTTCAGTGTGTCTAAAGATGCATAACTTTCAGCATCTGATTCCACCACTTGTTTGATCTATGATCTATGGTCCTAAACTTGGACAGAGCGACGTCTCCTCCCTATATATATGACTACACATATATGTAAACTGCATATCGCCAACGATTTTCCTGATTGCAGTAGATTGGATAATGCAACAGATAGTGGTGGACAATGAAGAAACAAGCATAAAGTGGATTCACACCAAAAACTTGCAGGATCTGAACTCCGCCGATGATATATGTCTGATTTCCCACAAAGTGGCGGATATGGAGGTGAAAAGCAACAATTTGGCAGAACAAGCATCAAAGATACGCCTTTCTTCAGCTGAACATAGAGAGAAAAGAAGTGATGAAGATTCCTGGCCAACAGCAGCAGCAACAACAACAACAGACAACAATCAGCCTGTATAAATGGGAGGAACCTGGGAGAAACAATCTCCTTTACCTACCCACCATCGAATCATCGTTTCAACTACAGGCAGATAGAACTGACGAGGATATCAAAGCAGTGGGGGTCGAGAAAGCAAGACAAGCTTTCATTACTCTTAAGTCTGTGTGGAGGTCAACAGCACTACTCAGCATGAAAATGAAAATAAGATCCGGATTTTCAACTCCAATGTGAAGTCAGTCAGTGCTACTATACGGATTAGAGACTTGTACTGCGCGTCATAAAGAGCATCTCAAACAAACTTCAGACCTTCATTAACAGTTGTCTTCGCTCAATACTCAAGATCAGACGGCCGGTCGGAAAAGATCAGCAACAGGGATCTCTGGTGATAAGCGAACCAACACAGTAGGAACCGATTGTGAAACAAATAAGCAGGAAGAAATGGAGATGGATTGGCCATACTCTGAGGAAAGCATCAAGTGACATCACTAGACAAGCAATTGCTCAAGTGGAACCCGAATGGGAAGCGGCGATTTGGTCGTCAGTGCAAGGGTGACTTGGAGGAGGTCATGTCAAGAGGAGATGAAAGCGTGTGGGCAGTTTTGGAGCGGGGTGAAAACTTTGGCAGAGCACCAAACACAATGGAGACGCACGGAGGAAGCCCCATGTTCCCTTAGGAAATAATAATAATATGTAAACTGATATAGAATATGGGGCATTTTAGTAGTGTTCTAATTCTATAAGGGTTGACACAACAACATAAACTTCCCTTTCTGTATACAAAGTAGATGGGCTGTTTAGAAAATGATGCGCAATGCTGTTTTGAGTCTTTGTTCAGACTTTGTTCCACTGATGCCTGTCTTCGCTGTGTGGATAGTGAAGTTCAGATGGCCGGTCGGAAAGGATAAGGATCATCAAGGAACTCTCAGCGGAAACAACATATCACACAACAAAAAATCTGCAGTAAAAGGAGATGGATATGAATTTTACATATATTTATGTAGCAGACAATTCCCAGTGACATCACACACAGAAGTGAATATCTGAAGATGTCATGAAGTCTATGGGAGAATGAAAAGAAAGCTTGTGCTAGGCAAAAGATGACGACAGTGAACAGAGATGGGTCACTCATAGTCTGTATTCCTGTGAGAACTCAAAAAATGAAAAATAATATAAAATAACCGTCACCTCTGAAGAGACCTTAACATGTACGAAAGAGCTGTTCAGTACTCTCTGATTGTTTTTGACGATCTACCTCTAGTACTCCTATGACAAGTTAGTGAGTGATCACAATGTTTAAAACGTGTTGAGGTAATACACTAGGTAGTATCAAGTATATTACGCGTCACCATCAGGCATAATTATTCAATCTAATGAAAAATCTTCAGGTATTGGCTTTGTAAGGATTTTTTTATTGTATGGAGGATTTCATCATGTGCTAACATCAGTTAGAGAACCCATGGACAGCCTGCAGTTTCGTTCTAGTTTGGGACTCTTCAGCAGTATGAATCGACGACCTTCTGGTTACGAGGTGAGCGCGTAGACCATTGAGCCGCTGGGACCCGATGCAATGGTCCTTGAATTCTAACTTCTTCCAATTCATGACATAGTGCGACTACTTCGTAGTGTCTTCTTCGATGAGTTACTGCCTCATCTTCAACCTGCTTTACCCTACTGGTCACGACTTCCCAGCAGAACCCCAGGTTAACTGCCTGAATAGGGCAAGTGGCTAGTGAGCATCAGATTAATTTTCAAGTATTGGTTTTGTACGAATTTTGAAGAGCCCCAAACTAGGACGCAACAGCTGGCTGTCCAGTACTCCCAGGTTTCCCAGTGGTTCTCTAACTGATGTCAGCTCATGGTGGAATCCTCCATAATGAAAAATTGACAATAAAAATCTTTATATCAAAATTTAAAAAGAAAAAAGCAAAACATGAAATTACTTTAGAACTTCAAGTACGCCATCTGCAATAATGTAGATATCACGAGCTATTTCACCTTTACGACAGATTAAATCTCCAGGTGTTAACACCAATGGTCGCATTTTTAAGACGATATCATGTAGGAATTCTGGTCTGCATTCATGAAAGATTGTCACCTTTTTTAAAGAAAAAAAAGCCGAAAAACAAGCGGTGGAAAAAGCCTTGTAAAGTTTTGAGTTTTAATAGAAACTGAGAACAATTTTACTTACAAAAAACTGTTGAAAATTAAGGAATTAATCCATAAGTCGACATCGGACATCTGCTTTTGTCGACTATTTTTTATTTTTATTTTTTTATTTTTGATTACAGCTTGATTCCACACTGTATTTTTGGTACAAGTATGGGATTTTCAGCATGGATATCGGTAGCCTAAACTTTGGAGGCCGACCACAGAAATCAGGTGTGAGTCGGCAGGGGATCGAACCTCAGAACATTTGCATGGTCTGCAAGAGTGCTAACCACTGTGCCACCGACTAACACTTGAAAATTCATCTACTGCTCACTAAATACTTACTGACTATCTACAGGAGGGAGTCCTTAAGGTTCCAGTGAGATGTGACTAGTGAGGCTCACCGTGTTGAGTGTTAAGACGGTTTGCTCAAATCACTGGGCAAATAGAATTTCTATCTATTAACGTGTTCAAATGCCTCTGTATTTCTTGTTGGTTTAATCATGCAATTATATCGAATGAGGACTACATGAACTCATTCAAAAGTTTGTCTTACATTTCAACAAAAACACTGTGCAACTTTTGATAGCAATGAGGGAAAATGCAGAGATTTCTGCCTGCGTTATATATCCTGTAAGAAGTGGTATAATAGGGTGAGCCATATTGAGGTTGGACGTCGGTCGAGTGTTACGTTGAGGGGGGATCAATCAACGAGATTGTCAAGTTACACCGACAGAGATGGTTAGAATATGTATTACACATGCCAGCCTAGCCATCCATCGCCTTCATCGACAACGGGCAGTGATAGCTGGCGTAGAATTGATCAAGTTGGAAGAGAGCTAGTGGTGGTTGAACCAAAACATGGCTTCATCAGTCACTGAAATCCACAAAAGGTATTTTAAGCCACACACGGGGGTATAGATTTCCTGACTACTGGTTGGGGACCTCAAAATAGCAAACACCAGTGAAGGCTGTAGACAATCGGTGAAATACCTCAAAATCGTTCTCAGTGATGGTGCAGATGCATTCATTCTTTTTTTATTTATCATATCCAATGAAATTATGTTGTTCTTTCACATTACTACCATTCTTTTTGCCTAACTCACACTTCTGTTTATTATCTCTCTTCCTCTTTACTCTGTTCTCTTATCTTTTGTGGTACATCTGTACATCGGTGCAAAGTTCCACGTTGAAAGCAGTCAGTCACTCTGTCAGTCCTTCAGTGATTTTTAACCCGTGTTAATTAGTCCTACAATCAGATACATTAGAATGAATTTCTTCAGTTCACGACTGACCTTCAATGGAAATTTCTACTGATATACTAGCTAACCATTATGTAACGGTGAGTGTATGGCATCTAGAAACGATAAAGTACTAAACCAAGGTCAAATGTACTTCTATTGATCCCCCTCAACTTTTCAACATTCACTCAAATGTCAACACGTTAAAGGTTCTCTTGTGTTAGTTCCCAAAGAACAAGTCTGACTGGCAAAATTCATTCAGCAATAAAACGTATACTGTAGTTGTCAGTGTATACACAAAATTCAGCACACTTTTGTCGTATTGAACGACCAATTTTGTTTCGTTGAAATTCTTGATACTTTCATAAATTGGACAGCTTAATGTTTAACGGAATCACTTTTAAACTTGTAATGGAAAGTTTGATAATATCGAGATTCGGGAGAAACATTTCCAAATTGTAAGTGTCTTCATAAAGTGGTAAATGTTAATTGCCTGACTGAATAGTTCTAAGCTGTTTCCCAAAGTTTGAGAACAAGTGTCACCTTTGAGTTCTCAGTCAAGAATCACGAGCTGATCTCAGTTGGACAATAATTAAGTCATCCACTCTTAAGACTTCTCAATAGCACTTACATACAACTAGATCGGATATCAAAAACAGGACCTTCAAGTTACGAGGAGTGTCCGTTGACTATTTGGTCACTGGGTTGGAATATAATAACTTATGAACTCCTACTACTACCAACTGCCAGCAGATAACACCGCCACTGACTAGTGGCATAGACACATATTTGACTGTGACAATAATGATATTATTGAATCGTTATCAAAGACAATATGTGAAGACACAGTACATACTTTTTTAGCATATCCATTTCCAGAATTTTTCTTGATATTAGTATGTATACACATATATACAAATCGCGGTTTGATCAATTGAAAATATACCTTAGCTTCCATGTCTTGCCTTCTCCTCTTAAAGCATGGTATACTTCAGATGTTTACAATACAAGCAAATCCTGTATTCATAGGAAATATTCTGGATAAGATTTTATTTTGATTAATCACACAGTGTTTTACAGTAATATTAAATGATGACCATGTTTCGAGAACAAATTATCGCACCCACTCATAATCATGACAAGGCACTACTCTCACAACTCACTTTCTGGCTTCATTTATATACATGAGTAAAAAAATGATGCCATTAGATATTTGAATAAAATCAGTAATGTAAGATAAAGTACATTCGGAAATAATAATATTAGTGTTATCAATAAAATACAACAAGACGGGAAATAAGATGTTTTTATAGTAAAGTAAATAAATAACTTGTTATAATTTTATAATGTGAATTGAACTGAAAACATTTGAACATTATTTATTATCCTCCTGTGATTCGACTGGTGGGAGTAATATCTTCCATAGATATCTCTGGTATTTGCGTTGGGTCACTTTTATTGCATGTGTTGTGTTGTGCGCAGACTCGATGATCCAGGCAGGTTTCAGTAGTCAATCTCTCTCTGTCTCCACGTACCTATATTATATTTTAGAATTTTAACCCTCTCGTGTGGTTGTGTGTTAACGCATATAGTGCGACTGCGGAGTTTTTTCTAAATTACTTATCTTTGTGGGTGAGGTAAATCATTCTAACCTTAGCTAAACTCTTATGTTCTGAAAGGCAATCTCACTACTCCTGATCTACTAGTTTGACCTATGCAGTTGACTTAACTAACGGTCATTAGAAGATATTTTGTAAACTACATAATTTTGTTTTTAACTGGGTCACTAAACAAGGTCTATTAGCCCACAGAGCTTGTCTTGCCTGAGTGAGTGTGTAGATTTGAATGCCAGCCTAAATCCTGGTGTTTTGAGAACCCTATGTAGTGTCTCAGTGAACTATTGAATCTCTATTATTTTTAAAACGTTTATGCAGTCAATATTACTCAAATTAAAGTATAACTTACTTTTTTCAATGTCTCTAAATTCACATTTAATGCAAGTTCTGTTTTCAATTTATCCGGTAGCATGCCTAACGAATTGATGTCTTGACCACCTCCACTTCCTCTGAGCAAAAAATAACAGATGTTATATTTTAATAAAAAGCCAAATTTTAAGAGATAGGATTAAACAACAACACCGAAACATTGAACAGTTACGTTACATTGAAACATTGAACAATGGGTGGAAATCAACAAAAACCGCCATCATATATATATATATATATATATATATATATGTATATATATATATATATGTATATATATATATATATATATGGTTTTCTAGGAAATTATATCCGGTGAGGGAATTGAATCCTAGATGTTAATACATTAAATAATAATAGTACAGAATGGAATTAAAATATTTGTCATTGTTATTGATTGTGAAGTGGCAAAACAGTTTAGTCGTGATACTGTGGAGGAAGAGTTAGACCTTTCAAGAAAACTCCGAATAGAAAATGGATTTCCGACAGGTTTTATAGAGAAGAACCAGCAGTCAAATCCTATAAAACGTGACTTATCATCCGTACCAAAGAAAATACTTCACATGAGCTTAGAATTCAAATGGGGCTTAGCTTCCGATATCATGAAACGAAGGATAACATAGTCCCTGATAAGAACATTCCCTGCTGCTTCTCTGAGAATAGCCTTTACTAGTCGACCATTACTGTTCAGTAACCTGAAGGACAAAATCCCGCTGTGTGTTAATCAATTCACCTGCTCATGTGGAACTAGGTATATTGGTCGTTCGACTCGTGTTTTGTCCAATACGATGCAAGAACACTATCCTGCATGATTGTTACAAAGAGGTGGAAGTGGAGCAATAAGAAGCGTGATCATTGAACATATGGTCAATAATGATCACCCTATCTCTACAGCCTCCATCTTTAAAGTCAACTACAAGCAGAAAGTTAATTTGCCCAACTCATGTGTATTACTGAAGCTCTGGCCATAGAAACAGAAAAGTCAGATCTCTGTTTACAGAAAAAGTTCGTTCAACCCCTCCAACTTTCATAGCCCTAACCCCTCAATACTAAAGTTTGGTAATCATTAATTATATTTTGGCTCTATAAATTTTTTTTGTTTTGTCCATTCATTTTGTATACTCTTCCTTTTTTTACGTCAACTGTTACTATTACTATTCTCACTTTGAACTGTTCCGGTAAAAAATTTCATTCGCTCCACTTGTCATACTAAATCAATTTTGTTTTGCAATTTTAAATTCTATTTTTCAAGTATTGGTTTTATCTATCTTATCAAATTTTACATTGTGTTACGTAACGTTTTTATTTTGTAGTCCATTTGCCTACTAATCCTTTTTAATGGGATTATACAGCTATGTAAATGAATTCACCGGCGTGAAGAGACTCTTCGCTGAACTTTTTGTTCTCATATATTCATGGGTATTATCCGTGAAACTATCACATTTTATTCCGTCATAGATAAATGTTACGACAAAAGCAAAATAATCACTGGAAAAATTGAAAGGCAGTCACAACCTTAATTTACGTCATCTAGGCAGGAGTGTTACAATTACAGGTGATTAGAGCATAGACAAGGATGTCAAAGTTAGCTAGAATAATATCGGGAAAGCAAGACAAGCAGTCATTCCTCACCTGATGAATTGAAGAAGAATAAGCGCTTCCAAGTGGGTATATATACGGCATTCTGTCATACCTCTCACATGGAATTCCGACTGGCCTTTATAAACACATAGCGCCAAAGGTGTGGAAAATTCGGAAGACAATCGCAGTCTTTCTACACAAAAGATGTTTGTTCTGTCATTGTGTCTTCCTTAACCCAGGTAAATTTAATGAAGTAAAATTGAGACCTTTCACATCCGTTTTTATTCTTCACTTCTTTTTTTAACTTTTGTGTGATGTTCCAGTTAAATTGGTTAAAGGATTTCCTCATGAGCTGACATCAGTTGGAGAAATACTGGAAAACCAACTGGAAGTACTTACTGAACAGCTGTTTCCTCCGTCCTAGATTGAAACTCTTCAGATATGATAGAGAACATTTGTAGCTCAGGTGGATGATTTCGATGTGGTTGTGTTCTTTGAGCTGGATAGTTAATTTTCGAAGCTTTCATTGCCATCTACCAGGCGACATATTCCTTTAGCACATACTTCAATTTGAACTGAAGTGAGCTTTTAGATTTCTCCACGAGTTTATTAATCATCTTTCCTGATGACCACCTTGTACGTGGTTGGTTGTTTTTGTGTGTTTTCACACCTTTTAGGCAGCTGCTTATATTGCAACCGATTGTTTGTTTGATTTGAACATTGATCTCTTTGTGTCTGTGTAAGTTTTCTTTCTTATCGGTTGATAAATTTCGTCTATCTCAATGTGTGTCTATTGATTAGTGATTCACTGGAATACCCGGCTGGTTTCTACAAATTCCCTAGCATTCTTGTTGTTTTCTCTGCCTAATATTGCAACGTTGTCCCAGTCGAACTGATAAGAAAGAAACCTCACACAAAAAGGGTCAAAGTTCAAGTCGAAGAAACAATCAGTTCCAATACAAGTAGCTGCCTAGAAGGTGTGAAAATACACAAAAGCAACCAATCACGTTCAAGGTGGTCACCATGAGAGAGGATTAATAAACTTGTGGAGAAATCTAAAACCTCACTTCATAGAAATGAAGTATTCGCTGAAGATGTCGCATAGTAGGTGGCGATGAAAGCTATGCAAATTAACAATCCAGTTCGAGACTCTTCATCAGTAGGCACCATCGAGTCGCGTTGTTTAGAACTGGCAGAAGTTAGAATTAATGGGCTGCCAATTAATTGGATTGGGCCTCAGTGATTTAATGGCCGACGATTTCGCTAGCCTTGTGATCAGTAGGTCCTGGGTTCGAGTGACAACATGTGGGTGCGTACTAATGAAGAGTGCTTAACTGGTGGCACGTAACATCTGTCCAGTACTCCGTGTTGGTTCTCTCACTAGTGTTTCCTGCTTTGCTCTGACAGTTGCAGTGAAAGTGTCTTTTGTGGTTGTGTCCTTCAGTAATTGAGTGTTGAACTTGCATTGTGGCCTATCTCTTGCTGTCCATGAGGCTTTCAGTTTCACCTTGAAAGTTTCTTGTACTAGATAGTGGTCTGAACCCACATCTCCTCCTCCTCTTCTAGATCTTTTGTTAAGTAGGCTCCGTCTCTAGTTCCCTGAGATTATCCACTAGATTACTTGGGCCACGAGAACTTGTACTCTTGTCATCGTAGACCTTATCATTATTACTGCTATTATTATCAATAACACCATCGTTATTGTTGACGTATTTACAGCATTTAGAATTTACTATTTTTGTTTCACGGCATCGGTGGCACAGCGGCAGAATGCTCGCAAAACACACACACACACCTCAATTGGTCGGGGGTTTGATCGCCGACAGACGAGGCACTCCCAAACCTCACCAAACCAGTAATAAGACTAGTTTAAAGGGAAGGTTGGGTGTAAGGCTAGTCAGCCAATCCCGTAAAAATAAGAACCACTGCTACGGAAACTTCAAGCCTCTAGCTTGAAGCCACCGTATGTTCCAGCACTGGGAACGTAAAGGAATAAAAGAAACTTTATACATTAAATTAAAGCTTGAATAAGATCTAATTGAAAAGGAAATACTGTTTGCTTATACTATGTTATGTTATTTTAATATTTTGTGCACTGTTATTATAACCGTGTTCAGGTTGTATGCAGTGAGCAGCGTTCATTATCACTTCATTTTCTAGTTTAATTCTTCTATTAAACATCTTTCATGATTGTGACTTATCCGAACGAAATTAATCAATATCTCACATAGACCAATCATATGAAAGAAGTTGAACTCCATTCACAATTTAGACAATCGATAATTTTATTAGCCCCGAAACTGCCTACTATATGAACTGGGCTGAATTGAATTCAAAACTGCCTATGCAGTAACTTTTGCGCTGATTGGTTATTTTTTTTTGTTGATAAAATAAGGGCAACAAAATGACATTTATTACTTCACTTTATCTAATCTGAAGTGAAGATGGAAGTTTTGGTGATTTACAGTTTTTAACACAGTTCATGGTGAAAGTTTTGTCAGAAAAATTCAAGCGGCAGTTTGAACCGATTCCGCCTTCTGAATTGGATTGAACTGGGTACAGTGTCGGGGCGTTCAGTTCACAAAACTAAATAATCTCCGGTACTATGATCACGTTGATGGGGCTGGTGGAGTAACAAACACTACTGCTTGACGTGTGAGTAGTATCCAACTGCTACTCATCTCAATCAATCAGTAGTACATAACGTCATGATGGAAGTTTGAATAGTTTTCATTCAATATGATTAATAAATCTACGACACAGTAATCCTGCCGTAAGTTATGATCATTGGGGATCATTTTATGAATCGTTTTCATGAATTTAATTTCTCAAATATTAATAATTCTCACATGATTTGATTTATATATTCCAAGATTCGTTTTGTACGACCGTCTAACCCTATGATGACGTAGCAGTTTTCCACTATTTGGATTCTACCCGTGCGCATCTCATACCATCATAGGGCTTGATGGCCAGAACAAAACATATTGGATAAGCGTCGAATTCAGTTGTATATTTTTCTGTATTCATTACTGAGATCAATGTTTTGAGCTGTTGTCATGTAAAATTATTGATATATCATTATTAATAACTCCTATGACCCAATGTGTATATTCCGTGATATCATTATTATTATTATTGTCATGACTTCCATTTGGAACAATAGGGCTTCAACAACACAGTTCCACTTTGTCCTATTCGTTGTGGTCATCGATAGTCGGCCCGTATGTTTGCCCTAAGACTTCCACCTCATTTTTTCCCACTCTGGTTAGACTCGATGACCTGATGCACAATGTCATTCTATGGTCTCTTGAGTGCATCTTCACTTTTTCTCCATTTTCATCGGGATATTTGTTAAGCGATGGAGGTGGATTCGACACATTCTGAGGAGAACGTTTGATGGTCATCCAGCGACAATGGAAGAATAAGAAATCGAAAGAAGTGATTAACTCATTTTCAAATGAAGTCATCTTCACAAATCTAGAGTTAAAATGGTGATCAGGGTTTCAGATATGTTCAGAAGTCTTCTTCCTAAATCAGTCGGTCAGATTTTATTTGCAGCAAAACTTCAATGGGCCTTTATCAGTTGTGAATTTTGTCTTTGTCTGCCCCTTCATTCAGCTGCCTCCATGTCTAACTGTCACTTTTCCACTATCTCGATGGAAGATACACACATGCCGTAGCCTGAGAATATCTTCTTTACGGATACGAGGTCACATTCTAGCATAGTTTGAAAGTGGAGAAAGTAGATGAACTTTTATCAGTCGACCAACTCTGACTTTATTTTTCAAATCATCTATCGAATTCATGCTAACTTGCAAAGTTTTCTAAACTCCAAAATTCTGATGAAAATAAAGGCATTAATGAAAATGAAATGAAATGTTTTCATTATTGCCTGGATGGGGATTATCCATGAATTGAAAATAAAGGCCTTGGCCAGACATGAATTGAAGCTACAACCTTCTTTTACCAAACAAAGCTTACACAGTCTCTATTTCCAGCTTGACCATGGAGGGACAAACATTTCTTTATTGATTTTCCATTTTGTTTATTAAATCGGTGCACTTTTCCATTATAACTATGATTCTTATGATTTTTGCTTTCAAGGCGAACAGTTTTCTGTATTCACGTGTTGATTTGCATGAATTTGATTGGTTACGGCATTGACTCATGGGCTGATATCGGTTACTGAACTATTGGCGGACCTGTGAGTAAAGGACAGCTGTTTCGTCCTAGTCTGGTATTGTTCAGCAGTACGCCTTCACTGTTGCTCAATCCCAGCACCTTGCTGTTAAAAGGAGAGCTTATCCTAGAAGGTCCTGATTTCGAATCCTGTTGGTGAGTGCTTACTACTGAAGAGTCCCATACTAGGCTGGTGTAACGTCTGTCCAGTACTCCCAAGTTTCGAGGGCTAATGACAAGTTTTATCAGTAGTATATGTGAGGAGATGTCTATCATCATAAAAAACATCAAATAGCAGGGAGATAGATTGTTCAGCCTAAACTGGATATTCATCGGGCAGTTTAACAATCTTTCTTTAACCTTTCTAAATGAGATTCCTATTTCTCTCTTCCGTTTCAAAAAGTAGAACGTTGTTATATAATGACGCTGCATCTGGTGATATCACCTGCTCTCCACTCACATTCAAGCTTTCGACAGTTTCTACAAAACTGAATACATCCCATACGCTGAACTTCACTAGTTGACGATATGAAGGTTCCAATGACTTCACTAGCCAAATAGCTGCTGGTCTATGTGGAAAGCGAGATATTTATGGAATAGGACACTACGGAACAATAAGTTTTTCATTGTAGTACTGCTAGACGATAAAGTCTTGGTATTTATGCTCCAGGGGGTATTAATTCATGAGACATGGACATGAGAATCAAATTCCCCTCCATGGGTGAATTTTATCATAGTCTCTTGGAACTGTAACTTGAAAATGATTTCAGTTTTGAAATTCTGTTTGGTTATTGGGAGAAATTTTCTGACCACCTCAACGATGGGAAGCGTACGAGGACAATTGTGTGTATGTGTATTTGTAATAGTGTTACGGGGATTCAGAGTTAGGCGCTAGCCGACCATGCTCCACATGTTCAGTGGTTCCATTCCCTATCGACTTCTCAGAACCTAACCGGGAGTAAACCCTGAAGAGAGAGTAGTTTAGGCATGAGGCTAGCAATCCCCATCGTGTGAAAATAACACCACAGTTACTGAACCTTCAGCGCCTCATGTTTGAAGACCTAAGTTCCACTTGAAACTCCAGAAAGGACAAAACTTATTCATGATAGGTTCGTTCAAAAGTCAAATCTCTAATAAATTTTAAAAAATTAACAATTGACCTTAAAGAGGATAGTCCTCAGCAAATTTGAGTAGAACGAAGAGTGCTGGAGCCTCACATGCACAAAGACGCCAGACAGTGATTTAAATTTATTTGAAAACTGTTAAAGAACCATTGGAAAGCAGGAAGTACTGGTTTGCAATGGTCCTTTAAGTGATTTCAATCTGTTGTCAAACTCGTAAAAAAACAAATCTAATCTTTACAAACCGACCCTTGAAAAGTATTTGAAAACTACTTCATTGAATTACAATGTTCTAAGACAAAATGCAGTAAACTTACTTTGACCATGCATAATCATACCAAAGCAGGATACGACTTTGAAGATCTTTACTGACTGAATTTGTACGCATATAACTTTTAGCATTGTCCTACACACATAATGCATACATAGGCATAAAATTAGAAGTAGGAAATATGCAGTTAGCGAAGTGACAACATTAAAATTTTAAAAAAATGTATAAATTATAATAAAGGTTTTTGTATTTCCCAATGAATGGATAACAAAAAAGATATTGTTCTTTTTACTGACGTTTCGCTATCTAGTGCTAATAGCTTTATCAAAGTAATAATATTAAACCAGAATTTTCAAAATCTCGGCTTAGATATAACAACTTAATTATCGTTCATCAGCGCGGGGTCATTTTTGTGTTGTCAAATTGCTCAATCGGTAAAGAGAAAACAACCATGTGTCGACCGAGGGATTTGATAAGTGTGTAAAATTATAAAAACAGCTTGTGTTTACATAATGAACTTGCTTACCACATTCGTGTTGAATTTGTCATTTCATTGGGTGAGAAGAGGGTGGTGTAACCAGGTCAAATTCTGGTTTAGTCCATCAATCTTATTCAGACAGTTTGGATTGCACTTGATGTGAAGTGCTTCTGATGAAATGAGACGTTCTTTGTGATTTCTGAAATGCTTTTTCTGGATGATTATTGCAATACTTAGCGAGTGTATATGTTGGGGATTTTCACATTGACAATATAAGACGTAGAGGATTATTGGGTTTATGTATTTTTGGCAACCCATACATATGCGGGAATTTACAATCTGATGGTTTTAATGAATCAAATTTATCTTTACTTATAGCATTTAGGCCATGAAGCTTCACTAGATTAGCTGTCACTGTGCCCTGCAACAACTGAATATCTTCTGAGGAGAGATCACGGCTAAATTTGCTTTTATCATCAATAACAGACATTATGTTAGATTTGTAGTCACTTTTATTCATAATGACGACTTTATCAGGTTTAGTAATAATTATATTAGAATTTTCCCGTAGTATTTTAAATTCCCAGCATTTAAAAGCCTTGAACGAGCTACGGGAAAATTCTAATAAAATTATTACTAAACCTGATAAAGTCGTCATTGTGGAGTTGTCATTATGAATAAAAGTGACTACAAATGTAAAATGATGTCTATTCTTGATGATAAGACCAAATTTAGCCGTGATCTCTCCTCAGAAGGTATTCAGTTGTTGCAGGGCACAGTGACAGCTAATCTAGTGAAGCTTCATGGCCTAAATGCTATTAGTAAAGATAAATTTGATTCATTAAAACCATCAGATTGTAAATTCCTGCACATGTATGGTTTGTCAAAATCAGTTTTCTGGCCTGATTCTATAGCGTGTAGACAAACTATGGATGACTGATAATTTTTCAAGCTTGTCTAGTTTAACTGGATTTATCAGTGGTTGAAGAGATGCGGCTCTACGATGTTGATTTCTTTTGATTTTCATTTCTCGAGATGTTTGTCTGATCTCTATCACATCACATTCCAAGCGTTTTATTTTATAGACACAATTAGATAGAGAATCTTTAGGGATTTGGTCGTTTATATGAACGAGGTTGCTTTGCAGTGTGTCTGATGTTTTCAAGAAAACTCTGATGCCGCGCTTATTGAGCTTATTGTTATCTTTACCAGTTTGTCAACTTGACAATTCAAAATTGATCCCATGGGAGGAACGATGATTCAGTTGTTATATGTATAAGCTGATATTTTGTAAATTATGGTTTAATATTACTACTTTGATAAAGCTATTAGCAGCAGCATTAAATAGCGAAACGTCAGTAAAAACAACAATATCGCTTTGTTTTCCATCGATTGGGAAATACAAAAAAACCTTTATTGTAATGAATATCATATATCCAATGCCCAAATTTTTTTCAAACTGTTAGAACTGAACTTGGTTCGAACGTATATATAAAAATCGTATAGTCAGTAATTAAAACAAAGTCACAGTTACATACACCAGCATATATATGGTAGAGAAAGCAAATATAGAGACATTCTTGGGATTTGCATTATTTGAAACTGTACTCATAATGCTTTTAGGTGCAGGTCTTCAGTTGGGTTCACTATTTTTATTTTTAGTTTAATGATGTGATACCTAAATGTTCGTTCTGTCTATTGACGTGTTAGCTCCTAAACCAGACGCTTCAACGATGCCTGAAGATCTATGTAATGTTATTTTTTTTACTGATAAGCAGTGGGAGTGAAATAGAAAAAGTGTACTTCGCCTTACGCGAGACTCGTTAACCTGTAACAAAAGAAGACAAGAGCCAGGAAAAATATCGTTTATTTACGAAATCAACACATATTTATAGATTTCTTATGGACATTGTTATAGATTATTGTTAGCAGAAAAACACAGTCTTCTGATTGGTTGTTTCTTACTGAAAGTAATTCTTCCATCTCTTTGTGACTGTTTCTTGAATGTCAGATCACCTATATGCTAACTGTATCCGCCTAGGCAAAGTCTGCTCTGGTTGATTTGTTCTTATTTTTCTCCAGACTAATATTGGGGACATAAACATTGACGTAAATTACTATCCACCAATTTCGGCTAACAGCCAGCTCTCACCACACTCATCCCCCCATCAAAGACTTGCAACTGAAGTTGATTCGGTCTTCTTGGTTCTAAGCGCTTTATTCGTTTGTTTTGCTGTCTGGAATCTAGGCGCTCGCTGATGTTCACCTGTTTCTCTTTGTTTACCATTGCGATTGTGTCTGCGTAATCCCGTCTCAACGTAACCATATGTGGTCCTTCCCACTTTGGAAACTATTGGCCTGACCCTATTGCACATTCATCGGTTTTTTGGCTCACATGTCCATATGACACTTTCTTCCGACCTCTCAGCAGTGCCCCAAGTAACAGCCTCATTGCTGACAGATCTTGAACGCCACCCAACTGTGCAGAAGCCTCGAAGGTTGCTTCAGTTCAGCTAATGAGTTAGAGTTTTTGTTCTTCTAAGAGGTAGAATCAACATATACACCTAGCGTTAATGAACCCCGACATACAGCCTACGTTTAATCAACATAATTAACTATCCGGTATATAGGAAAAGGAGGACGGTACAATCAGAGGAAGTGTATATTGAAAACCTACATCAACTGGTCAGTATAATCATTTTTTCAGCTTCTTACCTCTAAAATACAAACGCATTAAAATGATCGATTAAGAAAGGAAGACGAAATTCGCAGTATAAAATGATATAATTTTATTTCACAGATTTTCTTCAGCTGGAGACTACCTGAAATTACAATGGTTATATAAGTCACTCAAAACTGAATAGATACCCTGATGATGTCATTTCCAACTTCGTTTATGAATTTGCGTGCACTTGCTGGAGCAAGTACATTGGAAGGACGGAAAGAAGGGATTTTCTATCCGATTTTCTGAATATATTCCAAGAAATCTATGTCCGAATGGAAGCAAATATTCCCAGAGTGCAATTACCAGACATATTGTTGATACTGGTCATCTCGTGAAGATTTATAAGTCCTTCAAAATAATTAATAGACAAGGGACAGCAAAATTACTGCACTTTGCGGAGGCGATCGCAATCGAACGATTCGAACCAGACTTATGCATACAGAAAGAGAGTGTGATTAACCTCTCACTCCCTTGGTAACTGAATTTTGATTTCGATTACATTAATTAGTCATCTAATTCAGTAATCTCGCCTCACTGAACAAATCTTAATCTCATAAACTGTAACCGCTTTTGTTTTTTGAGTTACCATGTGAACTTACAGGCTAACACTGTTCTGTTAAATAATTGTTTCTGTTTTCTATCTTACCCCTCCCCCTCTTTTCAACTTTAAAAGCGTATAAATTGATGTGAAAACTTAAACTAAAAACATTGTAATGCTTTCATTTTGGATAAGTCAATTTTATAGTATCTCTTCTCTACTACCACTCAAACATTAAAGTATGTTATTATAATTTATAGCACCATTGTAATTGCAAGTAGTCTGCCACTGATGAGCACCTGTGAAATAGAATGATGATATCATTTTATACTCCGAATCTTGTCTTCCTTTCTTTATCGAAATCTATCAAAGGAACTAAATGTATGAAGCAATATAATTAAATGCGTCATCCATACAGCAAGAGCAATCTGCTCTGATGAATTTCTTGATGAAGAGCTTAATTTTGTCATACCGTTGTTGAGTGAGAACGGTTACTCAGGAACATTTGTCGACAGGAATATGAATCAAAAGTCAAAGCACGCCAAAGTACCAACAGTTCCTAAAACGGCCTTATTCTAACGACTTCAATTCCTCACGGATAACATCAGTTAGATAATAACAGAAAGCATAAGGTAAAAAGGGCATTCATGGCCGCTGAATTATGCCACCTCTTCAATACCATCTTAGCTATTCGTTTGGGAGTAAAGATGTAAAACTGCCTAATTTCTCCTCTTCCATATGAATCTTCCAGTTTGACTGATGCTGTGGAAACAGTTACATAGGCTGTACCAATAATAGTGTTCATCGTCAGATTTCCAAACATCGTCCTGCAAAGTGGTTAAGTAATCGACAAACAAAATCCACTCATAGCGCTATTCCATCTCATCTTGTGGATACAGAACACAAGATTGATGTTAACAAATCTTAACTTTGCCTTAATAGTTCGTCTACAACATATTATTGAGGCTATTGGGATTCCCATTAAGAAACCTAACTTATGTATTCAAAAGAATTTCGTTCAGACGTAGTCAAACCTTGCTGGCCATCAAGGCTTTAATGATCCTTAGTTTGTTGTGGAAATTTCCTTAATTTATTTGATATTCTATTTGCTATTATCACTTTTATGCTTATTATTATTACCTGAACTATAATTTCATTGGTTTAACAAATCGTTTATGCTTTAAAAGAATGGACACTGAACAAGGAATGCTCTTTTCGATAACCTCTTCCTCTTTGAACATCGAATCAATAATATTATTGATAGATTACAGCTCACTCAATAGCATCAACATAACAATAGGCTGAATCTCAGAAAGGCAAATTAGGAAAGATAATATTACGAATTCATGAATTTCTAGTCTCTACTGAATGCTGGCCAGGGCAGAAGTAGAGACTGGACTTGCTTCTTTTGAACACAGAGTGCTGGTTGGTTATTTGAGGTGAATTGCCATAGCCTCTGCTGTTTGGAGCATGTGGTGCTTCAATGACCTTAGCAATTTATTATGCACGCAGTAGATTAAAGAGAAGGATTTTTCCACGTTGGCTTTGTGGCAGGCCGGTTTGCACTAGATGGTCCAATAATGAAGAGACAATGATATTAACTACACTTTTACTTAGGCATAGTGGGAGATATTCTCGAGTGAGCATGAAAAATCAAGTTCAGTTGTGTTGTTCAATTGTTCAACCTAGTGAATTTTAAATCGGATTTTCAATACAAACGTAAAGTCAGTTCTTCTATACGGATCAGAAACTTGGCGGGTCACAAAGAATATTTCCAAAAGGCTGCGGACCTTTATTAACAACTGTCTTCGCTCAATACTGAAGATCAGATGGCCGGAGAGAACCACCAAAAAGGAATTATGGGAACAAACAAAGCAAGAACCAATCGACCAACAAATATGCAGGCGAAAGTGGAGATGGATCGGACATTCGCTGAGGAGACCGCTGGGTGACATCGCGCGCCAAGCCCTCGAGTGGAACCCGAAAGGGAAGCGGCGTGTGGGACGTCAGTGCAAGGGTGACATGGAGGAGATCGTGTGAAGAGGAGTTGGAAGAATATGGATTAACATGGATGCAGGCGAAAAGTATAGCAGAAGACAGAAGAAAATGGAGACGTGCAGTTGAAGCCCCATGTTCCACTAGGAACCCAAGGGAGCAATAATAATAATAACAATAATTGAATTTTAAATACACTAATATTGCTAATGAGGGCTATTCTAAAAAACTCTTAGAAAAAATATGCATAATTTAATGAATACAAAACTCGTAGATCAGCGAAGAATTTCTTTTAGGCGAATTCATTTTCTTAGCTGTACAATCGCAAATATATATGTGTTATTTTGTATGTATGTGTAAATTAAGTTTATCAAACAAAATTACAATTGGTTATGGTTATTTTAACTAAACAGGTGACGATTGCTAATACAAGTCAAGAAAATTAGGTGTTAATGAAATTAGGGTAGTAACAAAGGTGATGATTTGTCACAAACAGTTGTTCTATAGCTGGGTACCCATTCGACAAAGCGAAATTTAATTAAATCCCTTGCCACCCACATCCGATGAATCTGTAATCCTAATGTTCTAGAAACATAATCAAATTTTTGGAAGAAATTTTCATCCGAAATGGATACCCAATAAGATTCATTGACAAAAATATCAAACCAAGAATTGGAGAAACGAAACTTCATTTGCGCCTAAAAAGAAACTTTACATGAACTTGGATTTCAAGGGAGATTTAACAAGCGCTATTCTCAAGAGAAGGATCACATCATCTCTGAGAAGAACATTTTATTTTGCAGCAACACTAAGAATAGTGTTCTCCAGTCAATCGCCGATCTGCAGAAGTCTCAAGGACAAGATTCTACATCTGACCAATTCTATGTGCATATATGTGTTCATATGCTGCTGTTGAGCCAGGTACATCTGTCGTTCAACGCGCACCCTTTCCAAGAAGATTCACGAACACTATCCAGCATGGTTGCGAAAAGTCAATAGTGGTGCAATATGAAGTTCAATAATTGAACACCTGGTGAACACTGATCATTCCATCTCAATAAACACCTCCTTCAAAGTAATCTACAGAGTAGAGAATAACCTACGATGATGCTCTGGCCATTCACATAGAAAAATCGGAGCTGTGAATACAAAAGAAGATTACTCAACCACTTCTACTGTAATTGTAACAACTTTGTATATTTTGCTGACTCAATTTCATTTGTTTGCCTGTTTCTTTAATTGCTTATAATTCTTGTATTCATTTCGAACTCCTATGTAATTTCGTATTTTCTACTTTGTTCCTATGTGTATCCTGAGTAAAACTCAATCATCAAACTATTCATATTATTACATAACTTCTTTTTTAACAACTATTTGTGACAAATCATCACCTTTGTTACTACCCTAATTTCATTAACACCTAATTTTCTTGACTTTTATTAGCAATCGTCACCTGTTTAGTTAAAATAACCATAACCCATTGTAATTTTGTTTGACAAACTTAATGTACACACACATAGTGTGGTGAGAGCAGGCTGCTAGCCGATTGGTTGGCACTAATCTACGTTAAGGTCTAGGTCACTAATATGGGCCGTGAGAAAATATGAACAAGCCTGAGTCAACAACCAATCACAGCAAAGTTAACGTGGCAAAATATGATTCGCAGATAGAGAACTCTATTTGTCAAGGAATCCCGAAACAACCAATCAGAAGCCTGCGTTTGTCTACCTAAACAACCAATCAGATGACTGCGCTTGTCTATAATAATGTAGTTGAAATATGTATAAATACGTGTTGATTTTCATAATAAAACGATCTGTTGCCTGGCCCTTGTCTTCTGTTGTTACAATAGAAAATAACACATATATATATGCGATTGTACAGCTAAGAAAATGAATTCGCCGTAAAGAAATTCTTCGCTGATCTACGTGTTTTATTTTCATTAATGCCTGAATGGAGATTATCCATGAATATACATAATTTTAGAGTCAGAGAAGGAACACAGTTGCAACACAGTTCAGTGACTCCATACTGTGAAGCGTTGTAGTTTTATATTGGATGTTATAAGGAATAGGTCGACCTACAGGAAACTCTGCGTCGGTGGTATAGCGGTTAGGACGTTCGCCGATCATGCATATGGTCCGGTGCTCGATACCCCGCCAACGCACTCCTTTACCTCACTAAGCCAGAAATAATGCTGGTAAAGAGGAAAGGTTGGGCATGAGGCTAGCAACCCGATCCTGTAAAAATTAAACACTGCTACAGAAACTTCAAGCCACTAGCTTGGAGCCCTATGTTCCACTGGGAACGTGAAGGAAAAATTATTATTATTATTATTACAGGAAACTCTAGACTTGAGTTTCGTATCCACTAGTACTCAATAGTCAGGTATAGCATGCGAATTTCATAGAATATCATGAATGGACTACGCAATAATTCCACAACTTACCAAGATTTTTTCGAATTCTGTCCGATGAGCATTTCTTGTAGTAATAATATTACCAACTTGACCTAAAAAAGGTAATAAAGTTTGAAACAAAGTTCGATTATAGCTCAATATCTCAAAGATGGTAAAAGAAAAGTAGGTTCTCTGCGTAAAAATTACTTCCTCATCAGAGGCATGAATTCTCACAAAAACTCAAAGATCTATAGGAGAAAATTAGTGAGTTTTTGGAAGGGGAAGGGGGGAGGGAACTTCAAGCAAACATAGACACAAGTGATGACGACACTCCCCTGACTAATAACAAGTCCCAATCACCATTAGTGCCAGAGATTCCATGAATAGCTGGTAAGTTTGCTTCATACTGAGAATTACGTTGCCAGATGGAAAAGATAAACAGCAAGGAACTCTGGAAGCGCAACGAACCAACAAACAATCTATCACTCACACGGAAGGAATGTGTAAAAGGAAATGGAGGTAAATGAAACATACGCTAAGGACACCACTGAGTGACATCACGCCCAAAGAAATCACTTGAATGGAACCTGAATGATAAATGATGAGTTAGGTGGGGATCAGTGGGTGATATGAAGGAAACTATATGGGGAAGAAATCAAAACACATGGGTGACCATTGAATTGGACAAAACAGAGCGATTAGTTACAGAATTTCATCGTGAGCTGATATCAGTTAGAGAACCAGCTGTTTCTTCCGACCTAGTTTGGGTCTCTTCATGTGTACACACCCACCGGTTGAGGCTCAAACCCAGGACCTTCTGGTTACAAGGCAAGCTAGCTTGTAGATTATTAGGCCATTGTGACCCAATCCAATGACCAACCTCTAGCCCATATTTAGCGATTATTTGTCCCCACACCTCATCTGCTGCACCCTACTGGTCATGAAATGGTGATGTGCACCTGAAGTTCCATATTTTTCTCGGAATCCAAGCGAATAATCACAGAAATAGGTGCACATGGGTAGTTTAGACCTGAAGAAAATTTCTATTAAGTGCGTGCATATAAACATATTATGCAGACAAAGACGAAAAGCAGTAAATAAGATGTCAGTCGGTGGATAGTGATCAGCGGAGGAATACAGGACACGCATTTCGTCCTATTTTGGAATCATCATCTTAATGTACCTGCATTTCCCAATGAGTGATGGTGTTCCCACCAAGAGATCCACCTCTTGTGCAATGGGTCATATTAATTATTTAATTCAGATGAGACTGAAAAATGTAAACTGAATTAAATAAATGAAGAGGACGATTTGAAAGAAACATTAAAGAAACTGAAACGACCAAAATAAAACTAAGTTCATAGTAGGTAGATACGGTGGTTGGACCAGCTCGTTTTGAACACAAATATCCATCCGTTTGCTATAGGAGTATAGAAAATGCGTCCTAAGTGCAAAAATGTGTGAGTAAATTTCATATCATTTTCTTTTCCATACATAACCTGATCACACATTTCTACATCTATGTTTGCTTGCCCTTTGTGAATAGTGTTCAAAGTTAACCAAACCTAATGCCCTAATGAAAACTATTCAAAAGACGAATTACAGCTGATAAGAGGAAAAAACCAACAGAAGACAGTGTTTTACTATCCCAAAGAAAATTCAGCGCGTAAGTGGCATAGCGGTTAGGACGCTCGCCGACCTTGCACATGGTCCGGTGCTCAATACCCCGCCAACGCACTCCTTTACCTCACTAAGCCAGAAATAATGCTGGTAAAGAGGAAAGGTTCGGCATGAGGCTAGCAACCCGATCCTGAAAAATAAAATTCAAACCACTAGCTTGAAGCCTTATGTCCAAATGAAGACTTTCTGTATATGGAAATCTTCGGAACACAATAAAGAAGTTAAAATATATATATATATCACCGAAAATACCCACTGACTCATAAATAAAATAAACGAAAATTCAGAGAAGAAAATTTTCTTTATCGACGAAATCATCTTCAGAGGCTGTACAGTCATATTTATACTTACAAAGAAATATATTTTAACTAGTTGAAAATGCCCATTAAAATGTTTCAAAAGAATGGATATTGAACAAAGAGTACTCTTTTCGATAACCTGTTCTTCATCAGGCTCTACAGTTATATATGCATTATAGTGAATGAATGAATGAGTTAGTGTTATAAACAACATTAATGTTGTTTAAATAACATCGAATCAATAATATTGATGGATTACCGGGTGCCAAATAAATTACCAAAGATATCGAAGGACCGCAAGCTCCAAACAGCAGAGGCTATTGCAATTCGCCTCAAGGAACCAGTGCTATGTGCTCAAAAGGAGCAGGTCCAGACCCTTCTACTGTCCTGGCTAGCGTTCATTAGTGGGTATTAATTCATGAATTTGTAATATTATCTTTCCTAATTTGCCTTTCTGACATTCAGCTTATTGTTATGTTGATGCTATTGAGTGAGCTGTAATCTATCAATATTAGTAATTTGATGTTATTTAAACAGCATCAATGTTGTGAATAACACTAATTCATTCATTCATTCACTATAATGCATATATAACTGTAGAGCCTGATGAAGAACAGGTTATCGAAAAGAGTACTCTTTGTTCAATATCCATTCTTTTGAAACATTTTAATGGGCATTTTCAACTAGTTAAAATATCTAGTGGTCTATTATTTAGCAATAGGGGGTGACATAATTGATATAATTACCCAGAAGTGCCTTTAGAAATGAAAATTAAAAGTTGTAAATTACGTGGTACTCAACGGAACAAAGATAGAAATTTGAAAAGGTTAAATTTACTATTGAGTATTGCGAATAAACGCATTTGAGTGTCAATTTAACAATTGTGGAAATGGAGTCGTCTTTCAAACTGCTCGTGTGGAGCTAGTTTTGTTAGCTGCTTAAAAGTGAACACTTTCCAAATGCATCTCTGAACATTATCCGACATAGCTGGTTACCAAAAGGACAATGCAAGGTGGTTACTACCTCACTTCTTGAGTGCTTGGTGAACTCAAGTCACACAGCTCCACGAAATTCGTCTTTCAATAATATCTACTAGGTGGGGTCAAACGGCACAAAAGGCATCAGGTTTCAGGTTTTGTGTATGGCGGAGGAGCTGGCGATTCATCAGTACAACACTGAACTCTGTATACAGAGAAAGTTTGTCAAGTCTCTTATTCCACCTTGGTCACAACGTCTTCACTAATCGTTCCGTGTAAAAAATTTTGATTTTTCCTTCCTTTTCAATTTCTAATTTTACTTTTAGTTTGCTTTTGCTTTAATAATTAATTCACCATTATCACCCCAACATATTCCTTTTGTACATTTTCACACGCTCTTCACACTTGTTAAATTGACACTTTAATACCACTTTTATTCTCACTACTCAATAGCAATTTTAACCTTTTCAAATTTCTATCTTTGTTCCGTTGAGTACCACGTAATTTACAAATTTTAATTTTCATTTCTAAAGGCACTTCTGGGTGATTATATCAATTATGTCACCCCCTATTACTCAATAATAGACCACTATATAGGTTTTTTGTAAATATAAATACGACTGTACAGCCTCTGAAGATGGTTTCGTCGATAAAGAAAATTTTCTTTGTTGAATCTGTCTCATAGTGCAAATGTAATAGGTCCAACCAATGTTGTTACTCTGAACTGTCGTGTAACCTACAATTCTATCAATTTTTCACTACTTTTTCACTAATTTGTCTGACTTTCAGTGTAGTGTTTATCTTGATGCATGATAATACTCACAGATGCTCGTGAACTATAATCGATGGATCTTAATGACTCGATATTATGCAAGACAGTAATGCAGTTAAATTAATCGTAATATAATTAATATATATAATTATATTTCTATAATTTACACACCAAAATAGATATCCTCGCTGTGTTTTAACTATTGAAATTATAAATTATTGAATCTATTGCACAATACACGAACTTCTTGCTGACATCAATGAATAATGTATAAAAGAGAAAACAATTGGGCAAAGAATATCCTTTTTGATGATTTCCTTTTCTCGCTTCACAATTAAGTATCTATAATGTTTACATGTGTTTACATACATGGAATATTCTAGAATAGTTAACAATAACTATATCAGTGCTTTTTAAATAACATCGATCTATAAAGTATGAACAACGGAGTGACAGTTTATTCAAGATGCTTAAATTCTAATAATAATAATAAAGATTTAATAGCAAATAGAATATCAACTAAAATTAAGAAAACTCCACAGAACTTCAGGATCATTCAAACTTGGATAGCTAAGGTAAGGATAATGTTTGAACTAGCTTCTTTTGGACGCACAAATTAGGCCTCTTAATGTGGATCTCAACAGCTAATCTCAGCAATATGTAGTAGTCGAACTGTTAAGGCGAAGTTAAGATTTGTCGGTATGCGGTAAATGACTTTGAAAGCCGCCTTGTTAACATCAATCTTGTGTTCTGTATCCTCTTTTAAGTTCTGGAGAAAAACATAAACCGCCTAATTTCGCCTCATCTATGTGTATCTACCAATTAAATTGCTCCTGTGGAGTGGGCCAGTTACACAGGTCGTACAATCAGGCGTGTTTATCATCGGATTTCCTAACATCACCCTGCGTAGTGGTTAACTAAAGGACAAATGAAATCTATTCATAGCGCTATTCTGTCTGATCTTGTGCATGCAGAACACAAGATTAATGTTAACCAGGCTTTCAAAGTCACTCACCAAAGGAAGCTAATTAAGACATTATCCTTACCCTGCTGGCCATCAAGGTTTAAATGAGCCTCAATGTTTTGTAGACATTTCTTTAATTTTATTTGATATTCTATTTGCTATTAAATTTTTATTATTATTATTATTATTATAATTTATACATCTTCAATGAACTGTAATTCTATTGTCTTCTTAATTAATAAATCGATATTATTCAAAAAACACTAATATTGTTTTTTTCTAAAAGTCTGAATGAATATTTTGTCTATAATAAATAATGCGGTTGATAACAATAATTTCTTTAACTATTTTTTGTATTTTACAGTAGAATCTGAAGGAGAACATTTAAGAAAGGTTAGTATTTATTCACAATTATTTCTTT